TATACATACGTATATATCTTTATACATAGATACGCGCACACATTATATATATATATATATATATATGTATATATGTATATCATGAATTACGGTAGAATACATACACGTATGTACGATCAAGCATCTCATGAATGAAGCTAGTATGTAGACGCATGTATGTTTAACACCTTATGAATAGAGGTAAAATATATACACGCATGTGAGTTAAAGTATCACGTTATTTAGAGGTCGGATACATACACGCATGTATGTTCAAAAATCTCGTGAACGAAGCTCTCGGGCGAACAATGCTATAGGGTTGTGCGTGTAGCCTACAGCTTGTTGATTGGCTTTTCAAATGAGGTATGATCACGACAAGGTCTCCTCTGTGGGAGCACATGCCATCGGAGGAATTTCAATGAGTAGCTCAGGAATGCAATCTGGTCTCTTTCTTCCGTACAAGCTGCTGCTACTGCAGATCACATACGTTCACTCACACGCCACATACACCGCCATCTAAAACCTTAAAACCCTAAAACCCTAAAACCCTACCACCATCGGTCTTTACAGAGTGCACTCAGCAAGCTCAAGAAGGAGAAATTGGCGCTCGACCTACTGCTGAAAGAGTTGGAGGACCGCATGGAGGACTCTGAGACCTCTGGCAACGCCCAGGCTGAGATGAGAGCCAAGCGCGAAGAGGAGCTGCAAGGCCTCAAGACAAAGTACGAAGAAGCGCAGGCCAAGCACGAGGAGGTTGTTGGCGAGCTCAAGGCCAAGCTGCAGGCTCAGCGGGAGGAGCTGGTGGCTGAAGTCGAGCAGCTACAGCGCAACAAGAGCGAGTTGGACAAGAACGCCAACGCGCTGAGTAGCGAGGTCGAGGCTCTCAAGGAGTCGCTAGATAGCGAGGGCAAGTCGCGTGCGGATAGCGACAAGAAGAAGAAGTCTCTGGACGCGCAGTTGTCTGAGACGACCTCTATTCTCGAGGAAACCACGCGCCAGCTCAGCGAGACCAGCGCCAAGGCCGCCAGTCTAGCGGCCGAGGTTGACGCGCTCTCTAAGAGCCTGGACGAGAAAGACCAGGCCTTGACCAAAGCCGAACGCGACGCCGCGCAGGCACGCGCCAAGGTGGACGACCTGACCACCACGCTAGAAGACGAGACGCGCCAGAAGCTCAACTTTCAGTCCAAGCTCAAGCATGCCGAGGGGTGGACGGATGAGGCTAAGGAAGCCCTGGCCGAGTGCGAGGAGGAGGTAGCCAACCGTGACCGACAGGTGTCGTCGCTCAAGGGGCAGCTGGACGAGCTCACCAACCGCTTCCGCACCGAACAAGGCAACGCGGAAAACGGCGAGGCAGCGCGCAAGAACCTCATGCGCGAGGTGGAGGAGCTACGCACGAGCGTGGAGGGAGGCATCGCGGCGCAGTCCAAGCTCAAGTCGACCAACAACCGCCTGCAGGGTGAGCTGGACGACGCCAATGCCGCGGTTGAGACGGCCCAGTCTGAGGCCAGTTCGGCGCTCAAGAAGGCTAAGAAGTTCGACGCGCAGATTAACGAGCAGAAGCAGTTGGCTCAGGAGAGCGATGCGCGTGCGCGTATCGCCGAGGCCGAGGCCAGTCGTCTGGGCACGGATGTGTACTCGCTCAAGCAGCAGATCGAGGACCTCAACGAGCAGCTCATGAGCGCCAAGAAGGAGTCCAGCAACCTCAAGTCTGAGCTCGAGGAGTCTCGCAACAGCTCCAACAAGGATGCGGGATACGTCGCGTCGCTGGAGAAGGCCAAGCGTGTGCTCGAGGCTCAGCTCGAGGAGATGCGCACAGAGATGGAGGAGCTCGAGGATGAGCTTCAACAGACCGAGGACGCTAAGGTGCGTTTGGAAGTATCGTTCCAGGCCACCAAGCAGCAACTAGAGCGTGAGCTAGCTGAGCGTGACGACTCCATTGAGGAAGGCCGCCGCGGTCTCATGCGGCAGATGCGTGACTTGGAAGAGCAGCTGGACGAGGAGCGCCGCGCCAAGTCTACCGTGGGGTCTAAGATCACCAAGCTGGAACACGACCTGATTGAGGCGCAGACCAGCCTAGACATGGCTGAGAAGGGCCGCGATCAGGCCGCGCGCGAGGCCAAGAAGGCCGTTCAGTTCGTGCGGGATCTGCAACAGGAGAACGACATGAGCTACAGCCAGATGCAGGACGCCAACAACCAGCTACGCGAAGTCGAGCGCAAGGCCCAGAAGTACCACAGTGAGAACGCCATGCTGGCGGTCGAGACGGAGCGCAACGAGAAGGCGCGTCGCGCCGCGGAGCTCGCGCGCGACGAGGCCGTGACTGAGTTGGAGACGCTGCGCAGAGACGGCACTGGTTCGTCAGAGACCACACGCCGACTACAGGCTGACCTCGAAGCCAAGGAGGAGGAGCTAGAAGAGCTCCAGACTGAGCTAGATATCGCTACCGACCGCGCGCGTCGTGCGGGTCTCGAGAAGAGCGAGGCCGAGTGTGCCTTGTCGCAGGAGAAGGACAACTTCGCCAAGGTCGAGCAGAAGCTGCAGACGCTGGAACGTGCCAACGCCGAATTGCGCGACGAGGTCGAGAACGCGGAGCGCGAGGGTGACCGCAAGTACAAGTCCAAGGTGGTGCCGCTCCAAACGCGCTTGGCCTCCCTACAGACTGAGCTGGAGGGCGAGTCTCGCAAAGCGGCTGAGGCAGCGAACAAGTACAAGCGCTCGGACCGCAAGCTGAAGGAAACAATGCGGCTGCTGGAAGACGCGGAGAAGGCCGCCATTGAGCACAAGAGCAACTTCGACCGGTCCAACGCCAAGGCGCGCAATATGCAGGCCCAGAACGAGGAGCTGGAGATGGAGGTAGGCTCACTCCGCACGAAGAACCGTCGCCAGGTAACGGAGATCAACGAGGCCAATGAGATGGCTGAGCAGCTACGCTCACAGCTGCTGAGCACGCAGAGCCGCTTCGGTCGCACTGCGCGTGCGCGTGCACGCAGCAAGGGATTGACGGAGGATGACGCTGACATGGATGTCGACACTCCCTCGACCACCGAGATCACTACCGCGGGCGAGGAGTAGAGTGATACATTGGGTTGGGGTTGGTGTTGGGTTTTGGTTTGGGTTGGGTTTGCGCGGGTGTTTGTCTGCGAGCGGTGGGCTTCTGTAGTAGTACTATGGGAAGCTTTTATACAATAAAAATATGCAATCCAAAGATTTGTTGAGATTCACCTATCGTATATCATGCTCCCAAAGCCCTGTGCCTGACTGCATAGAGAAACGGTCTACATACATTAAATGCAGAAACAGTTTTATCGTTTACAAGGATTAGGCTCATGAACTACTACACTAATACAACAGACAGGTACTAAGTATATACACACCATAAGCACAAACAAATTGAAAGTATAAAGGAATGATGCCCTTGAAATATATAAACATCATAAGCAGAAACAAATTTAACAGTTTACGGGAATGATGCCCATGAACTACACCAATACAACCGTTATATATACACCATAAGCACAAACAAATTGAAAGTACATAGGGATGATGCCCTTGACGTATATATACATCATAAGCAGAAACAAATTTAACAGTTTACGGGAATGATGCCCATGAACTACACCAATACAACAGACAGGTACCAAGTCTATATACACCATAAGCAGAAACAAATTGAAAGTATATAGGAATGATGCCCTTGAAGTATATATACATCATAAGCAGAAACAAATTTAGCAGTTTACGGGAATGATGCCCATGAACTACACCAATACAAAATCACAAAAAAATTTAACAGTATATAAAGATGATGTCTATGAATTACACCCACACAACAGACAGATACTATCCCACTTTCTACTCCTTTGAAATTGCGGTATATCGTCGGTACGCGAAATAGGACATAAAGTCACTTCTAGCACCAGATATATATTACGGTACTACCTCTTAAAACATAGGAAGATCGGATACACTCTCAACCGTTCAGTTATACTTTAATATCGCCAGCGCAAAGTCTCTCTCACTCGCTAGTTGGCACTCATTTGTACCGCCTGTCCAAACCAACACCGTTCAACGCCAATCCGATAATCCGATAGTCATGCGCAGCACTTTAATCCGGACCAGCGATGGCCTGGGTCAGCAAACCCGCAGGGATGTCCAGCGGATTGATACGAAGAGTCCCAGACGCTTGCGTACCTACCAAGCACTCCTCAGCCCTCGCACGCCCCAGCTGGGGTGTTGTACCGAGTATTTGTGTTGTCTGTGCTTCTCTCTGTGGTGCCTGCTCGTCCGGGTGTGTTGGTTGTGCGGTGGGTGTGGCGGGGTACTTCGTAACGGGACTGGTTGCTATGCGTGCTGTGGCGGCTGTTGTGTCTACGGCGGCTAGCTGTGCGTAGAGATCCTGCACCAAACTGTTGATGATAAGTATTTGCCGTCGCTGCATATAAGAGGTATGTAGGAAAAACACGCACACAGAGAGTGAATAAATGGCTTCAGGAATAATTCGATTAGAATTTGAAATAGATACGTATATAACGCAATTGTGTAGAGTACGTATGTTATATATGCCAAAATGGGCGCAAAACGTTTGGATCATAGCGCTGTGGACATGACCTGGAACACTACAGAACCAACGTTTTTGATACAGTTAACTATCGGGCTCAACGTATCCGCACTTCCCACAAGCACCGTTGAGACGACGCGCAGTCCAACACAAACGCACAAACCATCCACCCATACACAGGCCAGCACAACTTCGACTGGCATATACCTACATAACATACCTCCAGCATAGGGGTGCGGTTCACAGGCTGCGCCGGATCTACACCCAGGGTTGCCTGGTCATCTACTAGGATGCGTGAGAGGTAGTCATAGACTACAGCGTAGTCTTGCAGCGTGCTCTTCTCTTCTGCGCTCTGGGGAAGGGCAGCCGCGGCACGTTGGGTCTCAAGTGACGCCTCGGCCATTAACTGAGAAAAAGGGTTTTTGGGGTTTAGGGTTTAAGAATGTAGGTTTAGGGTTTAGGGTTTAGGAAGAGTTGGTAAGGACTAAGAGGGCCACTTGGGTGTAGCAGCCACAAGGAAAGGAGAAAGGATCAGCCGAGACGGTAGCAGATTACACCTCGATATAATACTACGGGTGATGGGGGATATATCAACAACTAACTGACCAACTACGGCGGGAAGGTATCGACTACTGACAAACTACTACGTCAATAGGGATACGGATGAGTACAAATGATGGGAGGACACAACGACAAAGTATCATCTAACCAACCAACGTATACCTCAAATGTAGATAAAAGGGATGGGAGGATACAACGACAACGTATCATCTAACCAACCAACGTATACCTCAAATATAGATAAAAGGGATGGGAGGATACAACGACAACGTATCATCGAACCAACCAACGTTTACCTCAAATGTAGATAATAGGGATGGGAGGATACAACGACAACGTGTCATCTAACCAACCAACGTTTACCTCAAATGTAGATAATAGGGATGGGAGGATACAACGACAACGTGTCATCTAACCAACCAACGTTTACCACAAATGTAGATAAAAGGGATGGGAGGATACAACGACAACGTATCATCTAACCAACCAACGTTCCTCAAATGTAGATAAAAGGGATGGGAGGATACAACAACAACGTATCATCTAACCAACCAACGTTTACCTCAAATGTAGATAAAAGGGATGGGAGGATACAACGACTACGTATCATCTAACCAACCAACGTTTACCTCAAATGTAGATAAAAGGGATGGGAGGATACAAGAAAGATTGGTCAGCTACTTGTAGACTGAATATAGAGAACAACGGCACATACTAAAGCGACCAACTACCAAGTACAAAGAATGAGACTAACACTATACGAATTGCGCGCACAATAGCATAGCTTTAAGTTAGAGTAGTGTACTATGTGAGTCAAGTGTAACAAGACAATACACAGGCGTAAGGTGTACCTCGCTGAGGGCAGGTGTAAAGATGCCCTGGTCTAAGACTCTGATCGAGCTTGAATATAGCTATGCGATACTTAGAGGCAGCCCCTATCGTATATTTAACGTTTAGGCTTAAGCGTGTGCTCTGTACAAACTGAACTACATTCGATCGTCTGAACCAGGCATCACATTTCTTGGTCGTTAACAAACGCCTCGAAAGGGAAAGGCAAATCACAAGCTTCAAATCTAGGGCACTTAGTAAATGTGCACTTCAGCTTTATAGTTAAACTTAGCACAGTCTTCAACAGCAATTCAACAACACGGGACTATCTGCAACACAGATGGTATTAAGATATAAAGATATCCCAGTCTCACCATATGTAGTCACAAACCAGACACAAACACATAAGCACAAGCACCCATTCATTTCTCATGAGAAGCTCCTACGCCATAAGAATATACATGTGTACAATGATATATACAATAATATATACATATACACATCAATATATAGTAAAATGTATAAAATGTATAAAATGTATAAAATGTATAAAATGTATAAAATGTATAAAATGTATAAAATATATAAAATATAATCATATAAGTATATAACAATATAATATATACTTATACATATACCT